TTCAGGATTATATTTTAGACTTCAAAGGCTAAAGGCCTGTCCGTCCGGTCTTCTCTTTTAAGTTCTCGCGCGTTTAATATCTCCGCGATTGACTTCCGAAATCGAGTGAAACAAAAAGAAAACTAGCTTTGCCACAAACCGGGCGCCCAAACGCAAACAAGACAATACTTATTAAAGGCCCCCAATTAATCCGTTAGACCAGAAGAAGATTGGGCACTCAAATTAGCACCACCAGAGGGGTTAAATCGATTGTCAAACAGTTTTCCGTCTTGATCCACTTCATTTTGGGGTTCCGAGCTAAAATAGACGCCAGTTACCCCTTACATGTAGGCACCCAGATTGCAAATTTTGAGTTTTTGAAATCAGACATTTCATATTTTTACTAATTTGACCATTTCTGACAACTTTTGTTTCATGGAATATGCCCGTGAAATGAATATTAAGGCCGCTTTACTGCTGGTCTATCATTTAGCAGTGCGCCTAACTTACCCTGCCGTGCGGGACCACTTCCGGTGACCTCAAAAATCCCAAAAAATTCTCAGAGTCTTAGAATCCGAAAAGGAACCGAATTCCGTTTCCGCGCATCGACATTTCGAACCTTCGGGAAATTTGAGCCGGTCTAGCGCCCCCTGGAGGATGTTTATACATAAGCCAAAGAAGCGGGCATTACTGCTGTTATTTATTTATACACGCAGATCACAACGGCTTTCAAAAACTCCTATAATCTGTAACAGATACCTTTTTCGCTCTCCTATCATTCCATCCTTACCTTGAGCGAAAGGCCGTGCGAGCTGCTTCAGTAGAATTCGAAAAAAAATATGAGTAACGCTTTGTTTTCAAATTTGTCAATGAACAAAGATCCGTTGTGCTACTCCAGACGGAAAAATTTGATTCTAAACCATCAAGAACCTATAAAGCCCCAATCCGACTGACTCACTGACTCACTCACTCACTCACTCACTCATAGAAATGTTTGGGGTGAAGGAGTGGTCGTAGAGACTTGCGGTTTTTTCCATTCGATTCCAAATTTTATGGGAAAATTGGGAAAAATCCCGAAAGTTGAAAATTCCTCACCGTTTCCGAGAAAACCTTCTTTATCTACAAAAAAGGGGAACAAATTTCTCACCGTTTCCGAGCAAACCTACTCAATCTTCAAAAGAGGGGACCGACCGACTAAAAATTTTTATTCGCCCCATCGGTAGGTCTAGTCGAGACATTTCCGAATCTGTGCCGCAATCCGGTCTCCGTCACTGGCAACATCCTCAAAAAACGATTAAATAGGCCTAAATTCAACAAAATCCACTCAATCTTCAAAAAAGGGGACCGACCGACTAAAAATTTTTATTCGCCCCATCGGTAGGTCTGGTCGAGACATTTCCGAAACTGTGCCGCAATCGGGTCCCCGTCACCGGCAACATCCTCAAAAAACGATTTAATAGGCCTAAATTCAACAAAATCCACTCAATCTTCAAAAAAGGGGACCGACCGACAAAAAATTTTTATTCGCCCCATCGGTAGGTCTGGTCGAGAATTTCCGAAAGTGCCGCAATGGGGTCCCCGTCACCGGCAACATCCTCAAAAACGATTAAATAGGCCTAAATTCAACAAAATCCACTAAATCTTCAAAACGGGGGACCGACCGACTAAAATTTTTTATTCCCCCCATCGGTAGGTCTGGTCGAGACATTTCCGAAACTGTGCCGCAATCGGGTCCCCGTCACCGGCAACATCCTCAAAAACGATTAAATAGGCCTAAATTCAACAAAATCCACTCAATCTTCCAAAAAGGGGACCGACCGACAAAAAATTTTTTATTCCCCCTCGGTAGGTCTGGTCCAGACTTTTCCGAAACTGTGCCGCAATCGGGTTCCCGTCACCGGCAACATCCTAAAAAACGATTAAATAGGCCTAAATTTATCAAAGTCCACTCAATCTTCAAAAAAGGGGACCGACCGACAAAAAATTTTATTCGCCCCATCGGAGGTCTGGTCGAGCGGTTTCTGGAACTGTGCCGCAATGGGGTCCTGGTCACGGCAACATCCAAAAAAAACGATTAAATAGGCCTAAATTTAACAAAGTCCACGTAATCTTCAAAAAAGGGGACCGACCGACTAAAATTTTTATTCCCCCCATCGGTAGGTCTGGTCGAGACATTTCCGAAACTGTGCCGCAATCGGGTTTTTGTCACCGGCAACATCCTCAAAAAAATTTAAAATAGGCCTAAATTTAACAAAGCCCACTCAATCTTAAAAAAAGGGGGACCGACCGACTAAAAATTTTATTAGCCCAATCGGTAAATAAAGTCGAGACATTCAGAAACTGTGCCACAATCGGGTCCCCGTCACCGGCAACATACTCAAAATAAATCATCAATTGTCATCAAAACCTATAACCCCAAAATCCGACTGACCCTCACTCATCAATCATCAAGAACCCATATACCCCCAATCCGACTGACTGACTCACTCACTCATAGAAATGTTGGGGGTCAAGGAGTGGTCGTAGAGACCTGCGGGTTTTTCCATTCGATTCCAAATTTAATGGGAAAATTGGGAAAAATCTAAAAAGTTAAAAATTTTCTCACTGTTTCCGAGAAAAGCTACTCAATCTTCCAAAAAGGGGACCGAATGACAAAAAAATTTTTATTCGCCCCATCGGTAGGTCTGGTCGAAAATTTTCCAAAACTGTGCCGTAATCGGGACCCCGCCCCCGGAAATTTGGGGCAATCATCTTCAAGAATCTATATAGCCCCAACCCGATGACTGACTGACTCACTTACTCACTCAAAGAAAGTTTGGGGTCGAGGAGTGGTCGTAGAGATTTAAGGGTTTTTTTTCCTTTCACCTCTACCCTTTGTCAAAGCAGTCTTCAATATTTTCCGGACCTTGTATGCACCCATTGACTGCCACAGTAGCCAATGCAATACAAGCTATCTATTTGGGGATAAAAGTAGCCTTATTATATGGTCAAAAAGGTTAAATAGAGCTTTCAAAGAAGCGGACATTTACTTCCTTAGAAATTTGCCTTTGTTCACCACGGACTTACTGAAAATACTTCGGCACGCGCTCCACACATGCGGGGGTCTGGGGGCGGAGCCCCCAGCGAGCAGCGCGAGTACCACTATGAAATTACAAATTTGAAGTTAGCAAATGTTTCGAAGCCTCCCCTCCCCTCAACCCTTTCATGCTACCCTTCACGAGTCAAACCGTTAATTAATAACAGGAAAAGTAGCGATATAAATCGACAACTTTGGCCCGTCCCGTGCATTAAGAAACGTACGAATTTCGCCTATGTTTGACCCTGACGGGAATTAAACCTGAGTCTGGGGTTAAAATAAATGTCGATTTCGTCATCAGCACCCTTAAAAACATCAGAAACAATGCAAAAACTCGAATAAAAAGAATGTTCAAAAAATACCCCGCTGGGATTTGAACCCGGGTCCGAACTTTTCCGATTCGCTCGAAACTGGCACCATTGTTTTTTTTTTCGTCTCCCCGTTCCAAAAAAACCCCTACATGCCCTCCTAGCTGCATCCGCTGCCGAGACCTCCTCGACCCCATGTAGACCATGATGCACCTGCAGCAGCGCCCCCGGGGGTCGGATCGGATTTGCTGCCACCCGGGGGGTTTTAGGGTCACCCAAGGAGGCTGCATACCAAATTTTGGGCAAGACGGACCACGGGAAGTCCTCGGACGAACGGGCGGACGGAGGACGGACGGACGCACAGCAGGGATCATACTATATGCCCGTCCCTCCGTCATTTTTTTTCAAAAAAAGAACGGGACGGGCCAAAAAAAAACAGTTCTTTGACTTTCGGTCCAGGGATTCGTTAAAATACCCTATGCATTTCCTTTCCTCGGTCAGTTTTTGATAGTGCC